GAAAAAAAAAATAACCATTTACAAAAGCACCACAAAAAAATTAGCCATTCAATGACTAGTGTTCCATTTTTGGAATGCCCCTAACAATGGAACATAATAAAATGTTTTCTCTTCAAATTCTTGTTCCTGAAATATTTCTAGGTAACGTATATTAATTTCATTTAAAAATTCAAAAAATTATAATCTTTGGCATAAATGGGTTAAATACTTTGGAATTAACCTAGCCAAGAAATTGAAAGACCTCTCTATTAAAATCCACAGTACTTTAAAAAAGTAAATTGAAGAGGGCATCAAAAAATGGAAATTTATCCTCTGTTCCTGGGTAGGCAGAACTAATATAGTCAAAATGGCCATACTTCCAGAATTGATATACTGATTTAACAGAATCCTATCCAAAATACCAATAGCATTCTTCACAAAACTGGAGAAAATAATTCTAAAATTCATGTGAAATCAGAAAACACCCAGAATAGCAAAAGTAATTCCAGGTAAGAAGAGCAAAGCAGAAAGCATCATAATCTCAGATTTGAAGTTATATTACAAAGCTACAGTGATAAAAACAGCATAGTACTGCCATCAAAACAGACATGAGGATCAACAGAACAAGATAGAGATACAGAAATAACCCTAAGCACATTTCACCATTTGATCATTGACAAAGAGGACAAAAACATACACTGGATGAAAGATAGCCTCCTTAATAAATGGTGTTGGGAAAACTAGCTATTCTCATGCAGAAGAGTGTGGATAATCATCACCATGTGCTAAATTAAAATCAAAATGGATCAGAGGGAAAAGAATGGAGTGGTAAGTGACAACAACTCAGCCTCTCCAAAATTTGGAAAGCAGATACTGAAAAATAACAACTTCAAGAAGAAAAAAAGAAAAAAATAGATCCTGTGAACCAAGAAAATCTGACAGGGAAATTATAAGCTGTGAGAAACTGAACAGACAGAACACAATGCAGAGAAGGGAAGAGATAGGCTGCACTTTCTCCCAGGCTCCAGGCTTGCAGCTCCTGGGAAAGAGAAACCACACCCAAAGACAAAGTGAAGCTAGGGATCCCAAGAGACCCTAGGGGAAAAAAAAGTGGGCAACAGAATGGACCAGTGGTTGCTGTGGTCTACTGAGACAGCTCCCACACTGGAGTCCTTTGATAGGCAACAGCTGATGAGTGACTCTACTATAAGAGCCTGCCATATCCCTGCAGAGTAGTTGGTAGGATGCCATTCCAGGGAAGAGTTGATTGTTTGAACCTAGGACTCAGAGCAGCCACACGGCTTCATTTCAGGGCTCCCGGTGTTATATTCCCACACTGACTGGATAAGAGACAGCCTTAGGAGATATCCACAGTCAGGAAGCAGGGAAAAGAAACCTCCTCAGGAGTTTGAGCTTAAGGATGCAGGCCTCGCTCCTACAGCCAGAGTCCAGGCCCAGGCTGCGATTCTCTGGATTTGAAAGTCACAGCATTGGCACCCTCACCTTACTCCTCCTGCTGCCTGCTGGTACCTACATCCAGTGCAGATCTGGGGTTTAACTATCTTCTTTGTCTACCAGTGCAAACACGGATATGTTTTGACTTGGACACTGCCCCAAAATTGCAGATCCTGGAAAAAAAAAACAGGCATTCAAAATCAAGCAGAAATTTCTTTTTCTTTCATTTTTTGTTTGATTTTTGAGCATGTGTGTAGGTATGTGTATGTGTACGTGTGTGTAATTTTTTTTGGTACCAGGGATTGAACTAGGGACCTTGCGCTTACAAGACAGGTGCCGGAACCACTGAGCTAAATCCCCGGCCCTGTGTGTGCGTATTTTCTACTCTCCTTCACTAGTTTATTGGTGCTTGGAGAAATTGCTTTTATCTTTTTTTTCCTTGCTTCTTTTTTTCTAAATCTTAATTCTTTCTTTATTCCTTGTTTTTTTTCTTCTCCCTTTTAATTTTTCACCCTTCAATTTTTTCTCTATTTTTATTCTCCATATAATTTCTTTTTTCTCTTTTTTTATCTTGTTTCTCCTCAGTTTTCTCTTTTACTTTTATCTAATTCTGTAAACATCCTTATACAACCCATTAGGATCCTTTGCCCCACTTATACACAAGAGAATACTATCCTGCCACAAAGAAACATAAACTCAAGTTATTTGTAGGAAAACGGATGCATTTTGAGACCATAATGTTAAGTGAAGTAAATCAGACACTCCAGCTTCAATATTGCATCGTTTCTCCTATATGAAAAACACAATATATACACAAAGTACAAATTAAAAGATAATAGGAAGTAGGAAAATAGATCTTTCTCAAATGGGAAGGGGGTCAAGGGATGGAGGGCGCAGGGAGAGGGAAGGAAGGGAAGTGGATGAAAAAGAGTTTAAGATGTGTTATGAATGTATACGTGTCCCCAGGAGGAATGTAATCATTGTATCCTACAATGTGTACTGATAAAAAATAAAATTAGAAAAAATGGATCAGAGAGAAAAATGTTAAAACAGAAGAACTTAATCTTCTGGAAGACAAAATAGGTAAAACTCTTGAAGTCACAGGCATAGGCAGACTTTCTGAACAGAACCCCAGTTGCACAGGAAATAGTACCAAGAATCAGCAAATGCGGTCATATCAAATTCAAAAGCTTTCATACAGCAAAAGAAACAATGAACAGAGTAAAAATAAAATCTACAGAATGGGAAAAAATTTTGCCAGCTATTCCATGGACAGGAGATCGATACAGTATCTAGAATAAAGAACTCAAAAAAATTAGAGCCCCAAAATAAAAGACCCAATCAACAAATGGGCAAGTGAAATGAATAGATACTTCTCAGAAGAAGTACAAATGGGCAATAAATATAGGAAGAAATTCTCAACATTGCTGGCCACTGGAGAAATACAAATTAAAACGACACTGAGAAGGGCCGGGGGATTAGCACAGTGACACCACGCCTTCCTCACAAGCACAAGGTCCTGGGTTCAATCCCTGGTACTGAGGGGGGAAACAAACAAACAAACAAATGAAAAACACTGAGATTCCATCTTACTTGAGATAGAATAGCTATCTTCACAAAATCAAATAATAGCAGATGCTGGAGAGGCTGCAGGGGAAAGGGAACACTTCTACATTATCGGTGGGAATGTAAACTGGCACAATCACTATGGAAATCAATGTGGAGATGCCTCAGAAAATTAAACCTAGAAATTTCATTTGACCCATTGTTTATAGCATCACAATTCATAGCTAACCTTAGAAGAAGCAGCCTGTATGTCCATCAACAAATGAATGGATAAAGAAAATGTAGTATTTATACATAAAGGAGGACTACCTTGCCATAAAAAATGTGAACTTGAGTCATTTGTAGGAAAATGGATGCATCTTGAGATCATAATGTTAAGTGAAATAAATCAGACATGCAATTTTAAATATTGCATGGTTTCTCTTATATGGGAAACCCAAGTTATAAATAAAGATCAAAACAAAGTGTAGATAATACAAAGAAAGGAGATAGATCTTTCTTAAATGGGAAGGGGATCAAAAGATGGAGAAGGGAAGGGTCAGGAGGAAAAGGGGATAAAACATGTACATGTACAAACTCCACACAAGGAATGTAAACATTATGTACTGCAAACATGTGCTAATAAAAATAAATAAGCAAATGCCAACAGTATGGCTGATGTGGTGGGAGTGGGGCGTGGTGGATACCACACTGCCTGTCTGGCTGCACTCGTGTTGGAGTAGAGAATGGCGATTTGATAGCCAGGGAGGATACTGACGCAAGTTGTCCCAGTCCACTGGAGGGGTGAAAGGGAGCAGAAGGAGGCTAGCAGGAGGGACATGCTGGCCACTAGCCAAACCATCTTCCTCTTCCAGCCTGCACAGAAAAAATGAGTCAGGTGCTTCTCATCTGTCTTACTTCAGCCTCAATCAGAAACCAACAGCTCTGTCAGATACCACAGGCAACAAGAAGTTGGTCAAATGGAGCAGAACAAAAATAACATATAAATGGTATTTAATTTCCCCCATTAAAACTGCCATCTGGGGCTGGGGATGCAGCTCAGTGGTAGAGCCTTGCCTAGCCATGGGTTCTACCCCCAGTACCGAAAAGAAAGAAGGAAGGAAAGAGAAAGGGAAAGGAAAGGGAAGGAAAGGAAAGAAAAGAAACAAGAGAGGGAAGGAGGAAAGAAGGAGAGAGGGAAGAAAATGTCTCAGAATCATTTAATTTCACATTGGATTCTCCCATTTTCCAGGCAGATCATATAACTGATTTTACAATCTTTGCACTAAACATCTGTCCTTTCAATCAATACACCCATCATTTCCTCCCCAGTATATGAATGGTATAAACACCACAACAGTCTCTCAAATGCAGCTCTATCTGTACCTTCACCTTTGGCCCCAGCCCACCAGGAGGCAAGTTGACCCCTAAGAAGCCCAGGTACTTCGAATCTCTAAGCCCTTATCTTAACCCCCAATCATACCCCTTAATTGCCACCCTTGTTTTATGCCACATCCAGCTGAAGTGCTACCCAGAAATCTCTGGTCATGCGCAGTCAGTCTTTGCCCCACATCAGCCATTGCAAGATCAGGTGCACAGCCCACAATCTGTAGCATCATCAGAGTCAAAAATCATGTGTATCTACCTTACTCATAAAGGTGAAAACCTAGCTAATGCTGACTGAGCATTTAGAAAACATCATACCAGGATCTCTGTGAATAAATTCTCATTTCATCATCACAACTATTCCCAAGATAGAAATTAGCATGAGCCACAGGTGGGGATTGGACATTAAGGATTTTATGCTAGGAAGCTGATGCAGCCAAGACTGGAGGGCAGGTCTGAATCCCCTGCAAGCTGAGAATTGTCACCAGTTAGTAAACTCTTGCTAAATATAATTAAAACTTTCCTTATATAGAAAAAAACTCCAGCCTTCACTGGCAATGCTGGGTGTTTCATATTTTATGGAGTGCATCCTTTTGTTGTGTTTTTGTTTTTTTGTTTTTTGTTTTTTAATGCAGAGAAATGAAAGACCAAACACAACTACCAGAGAAAGCAGGAGAAAAAGTGCTTGAGGAGATGAAGACTCTGCAGAGCAAAGCTCTCAACACATACCTGATCATAGAATAAAAATCACCCAGAGGTCAGTTCCTCATTTACTTCCTGCAGGTCACTGGGGTCCTTTGTGTTTTACATTCCAACCATTTTTGGAATTAAAGTTTCTAGAGAAAAAAATTTAAATGTGGATATAAAAATATTTAAAATTACAATTTTTCTTTCTAAAACTAAAATGGTATTAGTATGATGGCAATGGTTGAAGCTTCTTGGTACAAGATTTAGTGCTGGAACAAAGCCTTTCTGAGCAAGATGTAAGCCACTGTGATAAGAGACAAAGAGCTAAGCACTGACAACTATTTCTGAGAGTCTTGGGAGGTGCGGTGCTGCTGGGGGCCAGAAATAGATGGATTGGGGAGGGCACTGCTCTCCCACCTCTGCACAGAACCAGTACCACTCACCTTGGCTTTGGCCACTCCCAGGATGAGCACTACTGGTGTAGACACTGGCTCCCCAAGTCGCTGTGCCAGCGGTGGACACTGGCAAAGAGGGACTGGACCTGGAGGAGACACAGAGATGATCAGAGCTTACAGACTGGTTTGGGAACCACTGGAAAACTTAAAGGCTGCACTCTCACAGCCCCTGGCAGGAGGTTATTGTGAAGAGGCGGGAATCTTGATGGATGTGTTTTGGTCAAAACAGGCCCTTTGATTGTGTTTGTTAACATTATTCCAGTCATATAGCACAGATTAGTAAGACTAATGATGTTGTAATAACCCATAATTATCCAAATATATTTGAGTGTATTCACTCCACTCATTTGTCCATGCATAAGTATATATACATATGAGGTATGATAAAAATATATGTAAATGTTTAAAGTAAAAATTTTTATTACAGTAACAAACACATTGCCATTAATCCCCCTCAAAATATTCCCCCTGGCTTTGAACACATTTATCTCATCATTCTTGCCACTTTCTGAAGCAGTTCTTGGAGTCCTCCTTCATGACTATCTTTACTAGGTGATCAAAAATATGGTAAATACCACAGCTGTGTGCCTTCCAGCAGAAAGGCAGGCTTGTAAAAACACATAGTGTATTCTCTGGCTCATCCCTGAAGGCAAAATGACCATGAAAGGTAAACATTTTGACTCTATTCAAGCCATTGAGGCAGCCACAGCAGCACAACTGAAGACACTCATGAAAGAAGACTTTCAGAACTACTTCAGAAAAGGGCAAGATTGATGGGTGTGTTTGAAGCAAAGGGGAGTACATATTTTGAGGAGGGTTAATGGCAATGTGTCTTTCCCTGTAGCAAATTTTTCACCATATTTTTTGACAGAAACTTATAAAGCTATCTCAGCTTCTGTATCTATAAACAAGAGCAAGATTTCTTTTATTTTTCTTCCTGCCTTCAAGGGCTATCCTGAGGCAGTGGCCCCTTGCAAAGGTTGTACTGACAGTGTTGGGAATCTGCCACCTGCTGGATGTGGATGCCTCAGTAGAGGCCTTTTCTGACAAGTTGTAACTTTAGCTCCATTCCAGCCATGAACTAAAATAACTCACAAATATGAGTTGTCATGAGTTCCTTTCTTCCTTTCTTTTCTTAGATCACCTAAGGTGGAAAAAAGCAAGGAAAACTTACCTGTATTTTCTTCTGCAATGGATCCCATAAGAAAAGTTCATGTAGTGAAACTCTTGGCCATCTGAAGTTTAGGGGTTCTCTATAGAATTATCCAGGTTCTCCAGGGATTATGTATATGATCAAGGCCTGGCTGAGTGAATAAGAATCTTGGGGTCAACTCTCTTTCTCTTGCATTCACTTTGATTATTACATCATTTTCTGAGGTCCAAGAAAAACATAACCAAAGATTCTCAGGATAATTTGCTGCCATTCCTTCATTTTAGAAATAATTACAATTGCTTTCTTTTTCAAGGACTTTTATTTTGTGAACTATTTTCTCAATAATCATGTCTTGGTCAGCTTTCCATTATTGGGGGGAAAAGTACCTTACACCTCCAACTTAAAGGAGAAAAGGTTTATTTGTCTTATGGTTTCAGAAGTTTCAGTCCATGGATGGCTGACTCCAATGCAGAAACATCATGCCAGAAGGGCATGGCAGAGAAAAAGTGCTCAACTCGTGACATCTGAGAATAAGAGAGCAGAAAGTCCCATGTCCCACCCAGACACGCCTGGAAGTATGCTTTACTAATCTCCTGGCATCTCTTAAACCAGTCAAGTTGACAATCAAAATTAACCATCACAGTTCCCCACAACATTCTGAGACACAGAGTAACTAGAGGCTGAATATTCCTTATCCAAAATGCTTGGGACCAGAAGTGTTTCAGATTCCACATTTGTCCTGATTTGGGAGTATTTTCATATAGATAATAAGATAACTTAGACATGGGACCAAGTTTAAACACAAAATCCATTTACATTTCATGTACATCTTACCTGCATAGTCTGAAGGTAATTTTATACAGTACTTTTTGTGCCTGTGTTTGACTCTGACCCATCACATAAGAATAGGTGTGAAATTTTCCATTTGTAGCACCTTGTCCATAGTGGATTTGGAACATTTCAGATTTCAGATTTTCAGATTAAGTATGCTCATTTATTAATTATAAATGTTATTATTGTGACAGGCATGGGGAAACTGATGCCCATATAAGTTTATTAACAAAATTAACAGAAGAGCCAGGTTTAGGCAGAACTCAGAATTCCTCATTCCCAGTCCACTCTTTTCTTTACAACATGATAATCAATCAATGAAGTGTTACAGTTTTAGATTTACTTTTTATTTAAACTCTTAGATTTGGAATTTCTAGGCATAAAAATATTATATTATAATGTTTACATTTTATTTCATTACTTGTTCTTTAAAATATGTAATATGGAAAAACTATAAATTAGCAAATGTCTTTCCTCTAAAAGTAATCAGCCTGACCTGAAGAAATCAGATGGCAACCCGGTGTGGCGGCACAAAGGGTAATCCCAGCACTCTGGGAGCAGGAAGCCGGAAGATTGTAAGTTTTTAAGCCCATCCTGAGTGATTTAGAAAGACCCTATCTCAAAAATAAATAAATAAATAAATAAATAAATAAATAAATAAATAAGGTCCAGGATGTAGGCAAGTGTGAAGGCCCTGGGTTCAATCCTCACTACCACCAATAAACAAACTAATAACAACAACAACAACAAAAACCCAAATAAACAAACAAACAAACAAAAAAAGGAAATCAGTTGGCAGGTTTGCCCCATCAGGGCTGCAGCCATATTTTACTAATATCCATTTACATTATGTACATTATGTTTGCTATAGGAAAAATAGGACTTGAACCTAACAGGTGAATTTAGAATCCAGAGCTTTGATGTGGAATGTACCCCATTCTGGTAAATAAGGGTACGGTCTCTATCAATTTAATACCTCTGCATAGTTTTCCTGCCTTTCATTAAACAAGTGGAAATAATAGCATTGATTTCCTGGGATTGTTGCGAGATTAAATGAGCTAATAATGATGGTAGCATGATGCACAGTAACTACACAATAACTATTAACTACTGCTGGGATTGCAGAGTTTATATGTTGAGGGAGGGGAGCTGATTCCTTACCACCCCATCTCTTTAGTCACCTTGCCACCTCCACCCACTCATCTCCCATTCTCCAGTAGCTAAGCTGCAGTCTGAGCATCAGATGATGGGGTGGGGTGAGAAGTGAAATCTTACTCTGAAGAGCACTAGAGCTCTCTGTCTAAGCCTTCAGGCATGGTGTCAGGCCAGTGCTCAGAGTGGGGATGGTTGGAGTATGAATCCCCTGGAGGCAGGGAAATGGGCTGATTGGCTCAGTTCTCTCTCAGGTCTTTTCCAAAGTCATGCAGTCTCAGTACTCTTTATGCAGAACTCACACCCTTCCCCTTGTGGTTCAACCACAGGGCACTTTCCCTGCTTTCTTTAGACAGCATCAAAGAGAGGGCTTTCATCATGAATGCAAAGAGATCCATCTCTCTGGAAGACATCTTGCAGGAGGCTCCCTCTCCAGGAGCACTAAGGAAAGGAGCAGCCACTTACCCCTAAGTACAGAGCCCATGCAGCCCTCCCGCTTCTCAGAACAGGGAATCCAATCAGAGCAGAACAAGCACGGTACCCAGAGGGTGCTGAGCAAATGATAGGCAGGGTCTGAGAGTCTAGTATAAAAGATAAGCTGTGCTGTTCTGATCCCCTCTCTCAGGAATCTGGAGTAGGGAAGAGAGAGAGACAGCAAGCTAACAGCAGGAACAGAAGCTGAATGGTGATGAAGTAGAAAAGATGAGTGGGACAGCCACAATAGGCTATGAGCAATCAAATTAGAAGGCAATAAGGAAGTGGATTTAGGGTGTTTGGAAAACACAGGGAAAAGGCAGATGCACCAAGAGGCAGCCCAGGGGAAAATACAAACATGGCCATCCTTGAGAAGCCCCATGCCCAGCCAGTCCAAGGAGTAGGGTTGGCCTTACAAATCATCCCTTCTTTTTCTGGACAAAGCTCAAGAGAATCTGTTCTTTACCTCCTACGTTAGTCAGCTCTCCCATTGCTGGGACACAGTACCCTACACCCACCACTTAAAGGAGGTGAAGTTTAATTTGACTTACAGTTTCAGAGGGTTCAGTGTTGTGCCCAGATTACGAAGTCCCAAAGACCACCAGGAGGCCGTTTCCGATGTAAGCACACGAGGGTCGTTTACGCAAGCTTAAGCAGGGACTCTCAATTGTCACCGACACAGCGGATCGAGATTGAGAGCCCCGAGTTCCAAATTAGCAGGGTTTTTATTGAGATTACAGCAAGCTTCGGTCATTAGCAGCCATATGATTGGTTAACATTTAGCAAGTATGAAGTGTAGAATTTTGATTGGCTAGGCTCATTGGGGGTTGAAGGGGATTACGTATAGGTTTTTACAAGAAAAATGGGGACAAAGGTTAGTGGTCTACTGTCACGTACTGATGGTCAGCAGACATCTTGACTCATGGTCATGACCACCTTGTGTGGATAGTCAGCACGTTAACAGATTGCCCTATAGATAGTGGGCCCGGGACACTTGTTTCTAGGGCAAACAGATGGCTGAGTAATGAGCTTAGGAATCTTGAGTTACAGATCATGTCTTTTGTCCCAGATTAAGCACATTTAATCATTAATTTGAAAGAACAAAGGAGACTGCTCCATTTTGGACAAAATGGAGTCATTCTGGTCTCACATTAGCAAAATGGAGTCACTTTTGGTCTCACATCAGTTCATGGTCAAGCTGGTTTCAAGGCAGAGCCATTATGGCAAAGGGGCATTGTGGGGCAGAGCTGCTTAGTTCTTGATGACCAGGAAGCACAGCTCTGGAAAAGGGTTCCAGTAAGAGATGTTCCATCCAAAGTCATACCCAGTGACTCACCTCTGGCTGGGTCCCACTTCCTAACACATTCAGCTATAAGCATCAATACTATCTACTCAAACAGTCCCCATGATCCAATCACCTACCTATAAGTCTCTTAATACAATCCTGTTTTGATTGTACCTGGAATTTAATTAATGGAAAGACAGCACAGAGATGTTGATGCCATTGCTATCACTAGGAATCACGTAGCCCTGGGAGGGGAAGTCTCTCTAGGATTGGCAAAGCCCTTCAGATGTTAAACATCATTAAATATCGGGAGAAATGATTAACATGCCTCCTCAACTCATTAATCTTCTCTTCCTGCTCCTTCAGCCATCTGCTCCCACAGTCATACCCTTGACCTTGTCATCACCAGGGTTAACACTGCCTCTGAAATGTTCAAGAATCCCATCCCCAGGGTAGCTTAGTGGCAAAATGCATGTGTAGCATGTTTGAGTCCCTGGATTCAATCCTCAACACCCCCCACCCCTTCCCCTGAAAATCCCATCCTCTAACCACCTCTTCCTATATTTCTACGTGGCTTACTCTGTTGACCCCATCCCAACAATCCTTATGTTCCAGTGAGCCAATGATCTTGCCACTTCTTCCTTCTGCAAAGTAGTAAGACACTGTGCAATATTTAATCACCACACCCCAGACCCTCACTACTTGCCTCCTTAGCTTAGAGTTTATGGTCTACATGATCACTTCTTTGCAAACTCTCAACAACCTTGCTTCCTTCTCTTCATTTTGTACTTGACTGCCAAATCCTTGCTCTGATTAAACTCAACTAACCATCTACTGATCCCTGTACCTGCACATAAAGAAAATCAGCCACACTACATTTTTGACCCAGATCTCAATGTGCTCAATCTGCACAACACACATTACATTTTCCCCATGGATCCTTTCTCTTTCCTCAAGTGAAATTTTTACATCTTTTTTCAAACCTTCTCCACCCCCTCCAACTATATTCTCCACAGACAAACTTGCTCCATATGTCACTGAGGGAAAAAAAGAAAAAGCAAACTAGTAAAACTGACTTCATCATCCCAGCAAGAGTCACCAGCTGGAGCCCATGGACCACAGCTTCCCTCTTGTTACAGAGATGAACTGTTCCTTTGCTTCTTGAAGTGGTCCCTCTTTCTGGCATCCTTAATTTCTCTCTCAGCTAATTATCATATAAATGCACCTTACAAAATGAAGCAAAACTTTTCTTAGACCCCAGGTGCACCTTGAGCTACCACCCCACTCCACTCCCTTCACAGATAAGAGCTGTCTGTATTCCTCACCTCCTGTTCTCTCTTCCAGGAGTCAGACATTCCTGCTCCTCTCTCCACTAACCAGCTCTTGTCTAGGTTACAATTGCAGTGAAATGCAATGACCTCTCTCACGACTTTGGCAACATAGCCCTTGTCCACCTCCCCCAGCTCACCACCACCTTCCCCCATGCCTCACTCTATTCTAGCAAACACACTATCCCGTTCCTGCCCTATGGCCTGGGAACTAGCCGCCTTCTCTGCTGGGGATGCTTTCCACCCCATCTCCATCTTGTTCTCCCCATCATGCAGGTCTCATCTCAAACATCCCTCATCAGAGAGGCCTTCCTTGACCACCTTAGCTAAAGAACCCCCCTAGCCTACTTTTTATAACCCTATCATCCAGCTTTAGTTCCTTATCAGCCTTATCCCTGCTGCAGATTATCTTATTTTCTTATGATTGTAGGTGCTAAATAAATGTGTTGGACTGAATAAGCAAACCAAAGTTTCACCCAACCACAAGTAGTGCGAAGAAAGAAGCGGGGAGAAGGCAGACCCAGGGAGCAGTCCCAAGTCAGGGCCAGGGGGCAGGGAGAGGACAGGGGCTTGAAGGTAGGAGCAGGCCCTTGTCCTGGACTACGGTGACCCACCCTGGGCCACGCCAGCCTCTCCCAGACCCCCAGAAAGACATTGCCAAAAAGAAGACTCCCAGGAGAGAAGAGACTCATTACCTGCTGTTCTCAGGTTCCATCAGACAGCAGCAGCAAAGTGCCACCCCCCATTCTTCCAGCAGCCTGTGCTGACAGAGCTAGATATTGGCCACATTCTGGCCAGCCTGCCTTCCCCTTTCCCCTCCCCTCCCCTTCTCTCCCCTCCCCTCCCTTCCCTTCCCTTTCTTCTTTCTGTTTTTAAGACAGGGTCTCCTTATGTTGCCCAGGATGACTTCAAACTCCAGGGCTCAACTGATCCTCCTGCCTCAGCCTCCTAAACAGTGTTATTTTCTGTTTTATAAATATCTTAGTGGTTATAAAGTAGTATCCTATTGTGATTTTCATTTGAATTTCCCTAGTGACTAATATTGGTGAGCATATTTTTATATGTTTTTTGCCTATTGTATATCTTCTTTGGAGAAAGTTCTACTTGAGTCATATTCCTATTTTTAATTTAATTATTTGTTGAGTTGTTATGAGTTCTACACATATTCTATGTATCCATATTCTACATATTCTGGGTACAATATCCTTATCATATGTATAATGTGCAATATTTTCTCCTGTTATGTGGATTTTCTTTCCACTTTTCATGACAGTGTTCTTTGATACACAAAAGTGTTTTGTTTTTGTTTTTGTTTTTGTTTTTGGTACGAGAGATCGAACTCAGGACCTTGCACTTGTGAGGAATACAAAAGTTTTTATGTACTATAGTTGACCAGCCTACTTCTAAAAGCACATTTTTAAACAGCAATTTGTTATGGAAATTGTGAAACACACAAAAGTAGAGCATGGTAAAATGAAGAATTAAACCTTTTATGCCCTTTCAACAATAACTAACATTTTGTCATTGTTATTTCATCTATGCCTCTGTTTCATTTTACCTGAATCAGACAAAACATTATGACATTATGTTGTTTCACCTATAAGTACTTCAATATGCATCTGTAATAAGGATTTTTTTGGCTTATATAAACCCCAAACTGCTATCCTACCTGACAAAATAAGCAGTAACTCTATAATATCATAGATTTTTTGCTATGGTCACAGCACCATTTACAAACAAATAACTGAGCGGGCAAAGGTGGGATCTCAGAAATGAACTGATTAATAATAATCACTATTAACTAGATTGCACAAACTGTGCTGGACCTTATACATATATGAATTCACTTTATCCCCAGCAACAATAGGAGGTAGGTGGTACTCTCATCCCTGTTTTATAGATGAGAACATTAGGCTCAGAGAGGTTCACTTGCCCAAAATCACATAGCCAGAAAAGGATGGACAGAGTCAGATTTAACCAAGGCAATTTGGCTCCAACATCTGAAGCTTTTTGTCTTTGCCAGATTTACATCTATTCCTGAAGCCCTTTGTGGTAAACAGGGTGCTTTTCAAGGCCAAGTTTGAAGGCATGATCCCAAATCAGATTTTCCTTTTCAGGGACACATGACTTGAAGTGCCTCTCCCCCGGGTTCTACAAAACAAAGGACCAGTCCATGTAGCTATTTTCCTAGGATGAGGAGTATAATTGGCCCCTTTGAGGCAGATATTTTCTTCACTTTAGAGAGAAGGAAACCAAAGACCAAGAAATGACATCGTTTACATTTAAGGTCTCCTTGCTTAGGCTGGCTGCAGCATGCCTAGGCATGATTGTCAGCTAAGTCCATAAGCTGCTAACCTTGACCTAAGCCTGTCTCCAAGACCCATATGCCTCCAGGTCTCTTAACATCCTCACCTTTCTGCCCAGGAGGTGAGCCTTGTTCCCCAGAAGCTGGAATGGAAGAGAAAGCCTGACACAGACGCCAGACCCAGTTGGGAGAATTAGCTACACGGATAAGACAGAATCTGTATGGAGGCAGAGGCAATAATGGGAAATACAGTACATAGGGATGGGGGGGGGGGGTTGCCCCAAAGCATACTAGGTGGGGATAATTGACTTCAGGGATCCACAGATTCTTCACTGGGCCAAATAATATTACGCTGTGAGCCAGGCTGTCCTAGCCAGTCTGGCCTTCTAGGAGGAAAGCCGCCATCGACATGTAAAGGGATGAGGATGACTGTGTTCCAATAAAACTTTGTTTACAAAATCGGGTGGCAAACTGTTTGGCTCACAGGCAAGCTGGTCCCTGATCTACCTCACACTGCTGCTGGGACGAAATGGCTATGTGACGCTGCTCCGTAGACTGCACAGAGTAAAGCATTTGGGAGCAGCTGATGGGCAGCAGACGCAATAATAATAAATGTCGGCCCGTGAACGCTTCCAGACAGGAAAAGCCACCACAGACTTGGCAGTCAGATGGGAAATGGCCCCAGTGGGACTCGTGACACGCGGGACTGCCGTTCCTTCCAGGGTTAAACCGGATGACCTAAATTTCAGGCAGCGGTTTCCGAGGCCAGCAGAGCGCGCCAAGGTGCTCCCTTGGGGTGGAGCCTCCGGCGCAGGCCTGGGCAGCCGGCGTGATGCTGCCTGCGCAGCGTCGCGTCCGCCGAGTCGCGCGCGCTCCCGGCCTCCGCTCCTATCCCGGCTCTCCGAGTTCCCCGCCCCCTGGAGTCCCCGCCCTCGAGCCTGGGCCGGCAGCCTTTGCAGGAGTCCCGCCCCGTGCACGTGTCGCCGCGTCCCCGGTAGTCCCAGAGGAGGTGAGCTCGCCTAGGGGGAAGTCGTGCCCACCCTGTAACTTCCCCTCCTACCTCGTTACCCCGCTATAGCGTGTGCAGCCTTCGGAGAGTGGCCTTGGGGACCCAGGGTGGAAGCGTAGTGGGCCCCTTCTGACAGGGCCCTGCAGCCTTCTCGTCCAGCCGCTGGGAACTGTAGGGCAAAGCCTCCGAAAGCGACCCTAGTGAGCGCGCGCGCTGGAGGTGGGAGACGGGAGGCGTGGAGGCTGGGGACAACACAGCACTACCGGACGGGACACGACGATTTTGGCCAAGCCCCTAATTTCCTAGCCTGTTTCGTCTTTTGGAAGAAAGGCTCCCCAAGTGATGATCTTTGTAAATGTCTGTTGTTTTGCGGTGCTGGGGATCAAACCCAGGGCCTCGGCATGCTAGGCAAAGGCCCAACACCGTATTACACCCCTAGCCCAAGATCTTGATTAAAATAGGCCAGCGGTATGCAGCGACTCACTGATAATTAGACACTGCAGGAATACAGTAAGCTTTAGCCAAAGTTGAATAATTGTGATTAATAGTGACATATTTGATAGGGTTCCCGTGGTGTTTCAAAATAAACCAGTCAGAGGAGTGACTGAAATGAAACAGTATTGGCTATGAGTTCATGATTGGAGCTAATGTACTATTTAGTTTACTTTTGTATGTTTGTAATTTAGCATAAGTTTTCTGAAATGGAACGTTTGCTGTACATGCCTGACAGCCTGTATTCATCTACTCTGCCTGTTGGCTAGGGCTGCCATGACCAGTGCCACAGGCCGGGTGGCCTAACTGGCAGAAGTTGTATTTTCTCAAGGTACTGGAGGCTAGAGGTCCAAGACCAGGGTGGGTAGGCAGGTTTGGTTTCTTTTCTAGCTTGGGATTTTGGTCAGTTTACTTAACCTGTCCTTGCACTAATTTTCACAGCCTTAAAATAGGGACAATCATAGTAGAGGTCTTGGGGGTTGTGAAGACTTTATTGTTAGATAGTATAGTCAGCCATCTGTATGCCTGGGTTCCACAGCTGGAGATTCAACAAAGTGCAGATTAAAAATACTTGGAAAAAACTTTTTTCATCTCTACTGGACATGTACCAGCTTTTCCTTGTCATTATTCCCTAATCAAGGCCACATCAAAACTATATAATTAGATTTTACATTGTATGAGGTACTGTAAGTAATCTAGAGATCATTAAAAATATGTGGGCAGATGAACATATGTTGTGTACAAATACTAAGCCATTTTATGTAAGAGACTTCAGCACCACAGTTTTTGGTATCAGCAGAGGTCCAGGGACCAATCCCCTGTAGATATGAGATGATTTATGTATGTGTTGTGTGTGTGCATATACTCACATATTCACATAAATATTTCTATGTTTTTTAGTGTTGCAGGCACTTTTTTTGCCCTAATATAGTTGGCCCTCCATATTTGTGGATTCTCATCTATGGAGTCAACCAAGGATTGAAAATATTAGAAAGAAAAATTGTGTCTGTACTGAACACCCAGGCTTTTTTTCCCCCTTGTCTTTACTTCCTAAACAAATAGTCACACAACTATTTATAACATTCACTTTGTATTAGATATTAAAAATGATCTAGAGATGATTTAAAGTATATGAGAGAATATGCACAGATTATATGCAAACACTACACCATTTTATAGAAAACCCCTGAGCATCCTTGGATTTTGATATCTGTGGGGGGCCCTCGAACCAAACCCTCACAAATACTGTTAGACAACTGTATATGCAAAGCTCTCAGAACTGTGTCTAGCATATAGTAAGTACTGCGTAAATTGAACATGTGATTCATTTATAAATTAGTATCACAGGGCTTCAGTACAGGATGGATGGGGAGGTGTGGTGAGGCAGTTGGGTACTTAGTGCTGTGCCTCGCCGTGGGAATAAAAATAGTAATTATAGCCATTGCCATAAGGGATGTCTCTACTGTTCCAAACACTGACTGTTTTATGTACATTCATGTACTCATGGCAGCCTCTCTTGTTGATCCATTGTTACATGCTTGCTTGGCATGTGGAGAAACAGTGCTTTAAACTCAGGAGATCTGGCTCTGATGCCCATGCTCTTAACCACAGTGCAGTATTGCTTCAGTTAAGAAGGATATGGCCCTTGGATGTTTAGTCTGCAGGCAGTCCTGGGAACCATCAGCTGACTTCTCTCTTTCTTGGCCAGGTTGTCAGCAGTAAGCAGCACTCATGGCTGGTCCCCTGTGGTGGGCCACAGCCTTTGTCCAGAGACACAGGACAGCCCTCTTAGTGGGCTCCTGCACAAGCCTGTTTGGAGCTCAAATCTCCTACCACCTCTTCGCGGATCCTGTTGCCCAGTGGCTTTACCAGTACTGGCCTCAGGGCCAGCCAGCCCCACTTGCCCCACAGCTGCAGAGCCTCTTCCAAGATGTGCTACAGGACATGGGCATCCCCTCAGGCCACTGCTACAAACCTTTCACCGCCTTCACCTTCCATCCTGTGAGTGCTGGCTTCCCAAGACTCCCTTCTGGTGCTGTAGTGGGCATCCCTGCCAACTTCCTGGGTGGCCCAACGACCAACACTAACCATCCTGTGATCATACATGGGCAGAGTATCAACTGGCAGAGCCCAGCAGGCACTCGGCTAAAAGAGGCCCTGACACTGACCCCTGATGCCCAGAAGTTCGCCTTGGCCAGAGAGGTGATGTACCTAGAGAGCAGCGCCTCTGCCCTGCAGGCCCTGCCAGCCCCAGCTTGCCTGGCAGGAACCTGGGCACTGACTGTGAGTGCCAAGCATGCACTGGGGCTCTATGGAGGCCCCATGAACTTACGAGCTGCCTTTAACTTGGCGGCAGCAGTGGCAGGCTTCGTGGCCTATGCATTCTCCACAGACTCTCTCACTCATGCCTTGGAAGGCTGGCTCGACCGCCGCACGGCCTCACTCTCTGCAGCCTATGGGCGGGGTGGAGTGGAGTTCTACGAGAAAGTTCTGACAGGCAACATGGCCCTGCGCAGCCTCTTGGGCAGCCGTGGAGAGAAGCTGTATACACCCAGTGGGAATGTTGTCCCCAGACACTGGTTCCGCATCAAACATTTACCCTACACAACCCGCCGTGACTCTGTACTGCAAGTGTGGAGCATGACTCTCAACCCAGGTCGCTCCTGAGGGCCTCATCATCATGACAGTCCCAGCTCATGCAGGCATTATCCCACCACCGACATTGGGATAATCCCTTAGTCCTGCATCCACAACCCAAAGTCAGAATGATCACAGGCTTTGGGATTCAGTAGCCTAGATTCTGCCTTCACCCGCCACTTATGACCTCAGTGACCTTCGCAAGTCCCTTTATGAATCTGGGCTTTGCTTTCCTCAATTGTGAAATGAGGAGGATGCAAACTACCTCACAAGATAGTAGGGTTATGTGAAGTCATGAACATGAGGGCCTGGTAGAAAGCACTGTAAATAAACAGGAGTCACTGCATCTTGGTCTTTGAATTCCAGCAGGCTGTGGGAGTCAGGCCAGGCATCACCACCAGAGGTGTGTGTGGTACCTCAGCCCTTCCCTACAACAGAGAACCATCACCCCCATGTGCCTGATGGTCAAATTCCACTTTTCTTCTTTGTGGTAGAAGTTTAAAGAGACCAAAACATGAAGTTAGTGAGGCCATAGGCTGCCTAAGGACTGTGACCAGTAGGGTCCTATGGTGCAGATGCGATATCCAGAGAGGAAGAACAAGCAGGTAATAGGGCACAAGGAGAGAAAGCATTCCCCAGACCTAGCAAGAGCTGGGCCTGAAAGCAAAGAAAGAAACAGGCCATTGCTGAATAGGCTCTGCTGAGATGTCCCCCAGCATTCTCTCCTAAGCGCAAAGCACAATCAGGACTTGGAGAAGGGAGGAATTAGGTGGGGGAAACTGCTCAGAGAAGACACTGCAGAGAGCAGAGGGAGGTGGTGGCAGTAGACCTGGCCTGGTGTCACTCAGAACCCAGGGAGAGCTGTTTCTTTGTCCTACTTGCTTTCATTGATCCCCCTGCTGGTGAGCAAAACAAATGCCCCAGGCTACAGGAGACCCCAGCAGGTTATAAAGTGAGGACAGCTGTGACCGCCAGGCCTAGCTTGCCATTCATGTCATGTTTTCATTGCAAATTATGTTTTCCCTGGAAGAGTTGAAGAAATGAGGCCTGGCGCCAGTGTAACTTGGTACAAGGATTAGGCTCCACCCAGGGAAGGGCATTCAGTGGTGGCAGATAGTTCCCAGCGGGAGTTGATGAGAGGTGAGTTGGTTAGGTGAGGCTGAAGGATGGGCTGGGCATGGCACATCTGCTGGATCTTTCTCACTGCTGGAGCCCAGTGCACTGTACCAGCTTGCAGATCCCTCCACCAAAAACCTGGGCAGGCTCAGTTCCTGAAGTCTGGACACACAGATCTCTAGTACTTAGGACACCATAGGGTACGGGGTTGATAAGCTCAGAGATGAATGGATGAGGTTGTGCCTGGTGAACTGAGTTTCTACCCTGGCAAATATTGCTTCACAACGCTCCCTGGAATGTCACTCAGCTGCTCCCGTATATTATGAACAATAAGGCCATGTAGGCCACCTAACTCTTGGCATGAAAAGTGCAGGTTGGAGTCTGGACATGATGGGCTCCACCTCACCACTCTCCACTCCCACCCATCTGCTCAGTCTTGGCAGAAGCCGAGATGGTGCATCAGGCATTCCTACTGAGCTGCCCAAAATGTTAAGTACTCTGGTTTGAATGTGCTTTGTCCCACAAAGGTTCTTGTCTTGAAAACTTGGTCCCCAATGTAGCAGGGTTAAGAGGTAGTGGAACCATTAAGAGGTGGTGCCCAATGGAAGGTAATTAGATTATTGCCATGGGAAAAGATTAATACTGGTCTCAAAGTGAGCTCTGGAGAGAGCAGGTTCTTTGAAAAGAGCAAGATTGGTCTCACTGGCTTCCTGTCCCATCATGCAATCTCTCTTTCCTGTATGCACTCATGATTGTGATGTCATCCACATGAGGTCCTCTCCAGAGGTGAACAGAAGCTGATGTCATGTGCTCAGACCTCCAGAATTATGAGCTAAATAAAATTACTACTTTACAAATTACTCAGTCTTAGATATTTTGTGATAGCAATGGAAAATAGATTAATACAAAAAGGTAACCCCAGTATGTGGGAGAGCAAGCCTGTGAAATAGCTTCTTACTTGTCTCCCTCTTCTCTGAGTCACAGTCTTTGTCTCCATTATGGGCTCTTCCTAGTCCCCAAACATAGCTTACATACCCTCTGCCCCCAAAACCTTGACTCCTAGAGTCTTCACCTGTGTTTGTGTGTGTGTTGCCTCTTTTCCCTACAGTCACACACACACGTGCATCTAGCCACAGCCAGCATACAGGAAACAGAGACCCAGAATCATGGCACAGGCATTAACTCTGCCCATTCCCAACCTTAGCTGGCCCCACTGCCTTTGTCTCCACCAGTGTCATCAATGCATGGCCCATCCAGTGTGCTTAGAGCTGGGTACACACATGGAAGCTACTGCAGCATATGGAGCCTGGGGAAAGTACATAGAGGACTATAAAATTTTGTTTTCTTATGTTGTGCTTTTAAGTGGTGTAGGTACCATGGTGCCTAGGTTTTAGAGCTGCTGCCCAAATATTAGCAACTCTTTGGAAATGGAGCTTCCCCTGGAACTCACTGCTGCCTAACATGGCTCTTCTTACAGCTTCTCAAAGCCCCAGTCAGCAATTCAGTTGACATCTTTAGGAAATTTGGCAGCAACAGGATCAAAGGACCCAGGTGGCCCCAGTGGGGAAACTGCAGGCTGGGGAAGAGGGAATTAAAATGGGTGACAGTCTTTTAGAGCTGCTGTACTGCTCGGATTTAAACACTAAAATATTCACTATTAGTAAAGTCAGCTAAAGTTGACACAGCATCTGCTCTTGGTGATATTTACATAGCCTTTCATATGGCTCCAGGGGTTCTGGGTCCTGCTGTTCTCATCCTAGTGTAATCTCCCCTTGATTCTAAACAATACAACAGGACAGTGTTGAGGGTGCTTTGGATCTGGGATGGCCCCAAAAGGACCATGTATCAAAGGCTTGGTCCCCAGCATGGCACCACAGGGAGGTGGTGGAGTGTTATTATGGCTTGTGTGTAGATGCCTCATACGGTCATAGGGGGCGCTTTTCAGAGGTGGCTGGACCTAGAGTGTATGGTGCTGGGATCAAGGGTGTGTGATTACTAAATCCTCACTGATTGGTATGGCCCAGTTCTGGTTAGGACTAAGGATGTGAGTGCTACATCTACCCTAGAGTGGGTAACCTGCATAAAATATAAGGGACAGAAAGGGCTAATGTGCTCTTGCCTGCCTTCTTGCTGTTGACTTCTGCCCTCTGCAATGCCCCTCTTCTATGCCACCCTGAGTTGGAGCCAGCCAACTATGAACTGAAACCTCTACAAACTAGGAGCCAAATAAACCTTTCCTCCTTTAACTTTTAAGTGTTGGGTATTTCATCTCAGCGATAAGACAAGTAACTAAGACATGAACCATGTAAGAGGTGGGGCCCAGTGAGAGGTCTTAGGTGTTAAGGGCATGCCCTGGAAGGGGATAGTGGGATCCCAGCCCCTTCCTCTTTCTCTCTTGCTCCCTGGCCATGAAATGAGCAGTTTTTCTCTACCACGTGCTTCTGCCTTGATGTGCAGCCACACCACAGGCCCCAAACAAAAAGGGCAACCAATCATGAACTACAAAGCTCCAAAATCGTGAATCCAAATATACTTTTTCTCTTTATAAATTTATTATCTCAGGTGTTTGTTTTATATTGATGGAAAGCTAACACAAAGGTGATGTCATGGCTATGATAAAGCAACAAAAGATTGTGACTTTAGTCTTGCTAGCAGGTTATTGTCATCTTGGCTTGGATGTGTTGATGAAGCAAGCTGCCATGTTGGAGAGGCCTGTATGGCAGGGAACCATGGCAGGATGGCCTCTACCCAGTAGCCAGCTGAGAACCTCAATCCAACAGCCCACAAGGAAATGAATCCTACCAGCAATCATGCAAGCTTGGAAGAGAATCTTCCCTGATGTAGCTTTCCACTGAGACCTCAGCCTTAGCCACCACCTTCACTGAAGCTGGTGAGAACCCCTGAAGCAGAGAACAGAGGTAAGCTGTTCGTGGACCCTTGACCCACAGAAACTAATTTATTCTAGGGCTCTAACTCAGCAAGTTAAATAGTATATGTCCACAAATGTATTTTAAAAGGGTTGGATGATGTAGCTCAATGTCAGAGTGCTTGCCTAGTGTTATGGCTTGTATCTATCTAGATGTCCCTCCAAAGCCTCGTGAGCTCACAGATGGGGCCTTTCAGAGGTGACTGGATCTAGGATGTATGAATGTGGATAAAGGGTGTGTGAATATGGATTAAGGGTATGATAATTAAATTAGACCAATGATTGGTTTAACTTAGTTCTGGGTGTAGATAATGGGAAGACCCACCCTAGGTGTGGGTAGCACCAACCAAAGGTTTTTACCCAGATGGGATAAAAGGGAAAGGGAGGCTTGCTGCTGGTGCTTCACTACTTGCTACCTCCTGCCTGTTCTGCCATGGACTGCTTCTCTGTGATGCCCCTCTGCCATAGCACCCTGCCTTGGAGCCTGCCAATATGGACTGAAACTGCTGCAAACTATGAGCCAAAATAAACTTTTGCTCCTTTAACTTACGGGTATCAAGTATTTTGTCCCAGCAACAGGAAAAGTAAGACACCTGGCATACCTGAGGCCCTGGTTCAATCCCCATAACTGCAAAAATAAATAAAAGTACTAGGTATAAGTACTTTTAAAAATAGAAATAATTGCCGGGGATTTAGTTCAGTGGTTCCGCCGCCTGCCTCACAAGTGCAAGAACCTGAGTTCGATCCCCAGTACCAAAAAAATAAATAAATAAATAATGGAAATGTTAAACAACTTGGGAAATTGAGAATATTGTTCAGCCACTAAAAAATGTAATTATTGAAAAGTATGATAGAAACATTGAGGAAAAACTAGTTATAAATATCAAATCTTTGAAAAAGCTGGAAGTGGTGGTATATACCTGTAATTCCAACACTCGGGAGGCTGAAGCAGGAGGACCATGAATTTGAGGCTAGCCTGAGCTGCACA